CCTCTGACCTTTGGCTCTGGCACAGACAGCATCTAGCGATGTCTGGCCAGAGAGCCATGCTGGCGTTGGGCGGGTTGGGCCCACTGGAGAGCGGTGAGTAAAATAACCAGGACTAGCTGGTTATATATAGAAAAAACGTAACGGATCAGCTGTTCGATGCTGGTTGCTAAGGCAACCACCAGCTGTCAAGAGCAGAATAAACAGAACTTAACGAAATCTCGCGATACTTTCCCCGAGCTGATCTGGGCCTGAGAACCAACACAAGCTCAAGATCTAATAACCTTCCTTACAATATCATTCTTCCATGATGACGTATGATGCACGTCACTGTGCGTCATACATTCAGAAACAGCAGCCCTGGTTAAATGGACTGGTTCCGGTTCCGGTTCTGGTCGCCTTCAGCTCGCAGGACGCACTGCGCATGTCTCAGAAAAGGGAAGTTCAGACTTCCGGGTGACGCGGTGATGTTAGCTGTGAGCCTTAAGCCCAGAGGAACCGAACCGAACCGAACCCGGAATCAACCCGCTCACAGACAGTCGCTGCTTCTGGATCCGTCCAGATGAGCCCAGCCAGCTGCGATTCGGTTCATTAACCGGTCCGAGCAGAACCATCCGGAACAGCGGAGACCCTCCGCCTCGCTCCGGTCTCTCCGCTCCACATCCTCCGCTGACGTGTCCCTCTTACCGGGTACGAGTGGCGCTGCGTCCGCCTCCAGAGGCTCCTCGGCCGGTCACGCAGCTCCCCGCGCCGCGCTGGGCGGATCTTCCACCGACTTCACCGACACAGTCCGCGGTTCTCCCGGAGGACATCAGCGGAGCAGCATCCCGGTTCTCCTGGTTCTCCTGGACGGACGGTGACGTCTGAGCAAAACAACACAGCTTCTTCTTCTGTGGTGCGGCACGGTGGGCCATGTGCGCTCATCACTGCCCCTGGAGGTCACCGCGAACCTGGGTCCTGCAGAACCCGGTTGGTTCCGGTGCAGAATTCCTGCACCGAACCGTAAAGTGTTTAAAAATAATCCCAGTAATCTCAACATGCTACCTGGGAGGAGAGATTAAAGATTATAATCTTTATATGAAGAATGATTAGTTTAAGGCTTTCATTCCAAACATCAAATTACATCAAATGACCTTTTTATAGACACTTTATAGACTTAAAATATGTTCACAAATTAATACATGATTATTTAATCTTGAAAAATTTTTTAAAAATATATCCTTGTTCAGAAATACAGATTATATTTCTGCTCAAAGAAAAACAGTTTGCACCGAACAGAATAAGATAAATAAAAATGTTTGATGGCTTCAGGCTGGAAGCTCTGCTTGTTTAATCATCAGAATTCATTTTAGATTTCAAATAGAAAGTTTTGTTCATTGTTCAGCATTAAATGTTTCCTCTTAATTAGAGAATAAGCAGAAATCTGGACTCTGCTGGGTTTATGTTGACTTATTCAGCTGGAGAACCAGGAACCGGTTCTGTCACTGGTTCAGGTTCTCTTTTCCCTGTGGGCAGATCTGGTTCTGGTTCTGGTTCTGGTTCTGAACCAGATCAAAGCTTTGTGTCTGAACTCCCTGCAGAATTGCTTTGATTTGTTTGTGTAATTGATTGATTGTTAAATAAAGTTTAGTTTTCATCATTTCTCCATTTGAACTAAAATATAATTATAAAATAATTACAGAAATAAAGTTTTCCTGATTCTCCTCTGATCTGTCGGAAAAATTTTAATAAAAAAACTTTTTTATTAAATGTTTGATGAAGCTGATGATGACATCATCAGCGATGAGCTTATTGGACCTGGGTTCTGGTTCTGGTTCTGGTGCAGGAGTACGTGCCTCGGGTCACACTAAGGAGCGTTTTCATCTGCAGCAGGACAGGAAGCAGGTTGGGGTCAGAGGTCGTCCACCTGCTCTCTTCCCCCCTGAACCCGTCAGGTGAACTTACTGAGCAAATATTGACAGGATAAATGGGTCGGTACCAGCGGGTCGGTCCAAACGTTCTGTTCCTCAGTTCTTACATAACAGCAGTGAGAAACAGAACATCCTGCTGAGGAACCACTGACCAGGCAGAGAGTACTAAACTAAACTAAACTAAACTAAACTAAGCTAAACTAAACTAAACTAAACTAAACTAAGCTAAACTAAACTAAACTAAACTAAACTAAACTAAAGTGAATTAATCTAAAATTAAACTTAAACTAAAACTAAACTAAAAACTAAACTTAAACAAAACTAAACTAAACTTAACTAAAACGAAACTAAATTAAAACTAAAACTAAACTAAAGTAAACTAAACTAAAACTAAATTAAACTAAAGTAAATTAATCTAAAATTAAACTATAACTAACTAAATTAAACTTAACTAAAACTAAACCAAAACTAAATTCAACTAAAACTTAAACTAAAGTCCTGGATGCTGTGAACCCACACCACTTACTAAAATTGAAAACTCCTGGCTCAGTTCTTCCGCTGCCAGGTTCTGGTTCTGGTTCTGGTTCTGCTGGAGGTTTGCTCCTGTTGTCGGAGAGTATTTCCTTTCTACTGTCGCCCCTGCTGGCCTGGAGGAATGATGGTCATTGACTCGTTGCTCTGCTGCATTTCCATAGAAACGTTTTGAATTAATTTAAATAATTAATACATTGATTGATAACTAGGATCAACTAAAAGAAAAATGTCATTAAGGATCAGAGCGGTACCAGAACGTTGAACCCAGAACCATCGGTAGCCCCCCTCCCCCGCCTGCTGCTGGATCAGCTGAGGAGGTCAAAGTTCAACATGCAGCCTGTTTGTTTTGTTCTCTCAGCAGAATCTGAATCTTAAAATAGCTTCAAATATTCACAGATTTTTGGACACAAAACCAGAGGTTCTGAGTGACCGCCGGGCCTGCACAGAACCTCTAGCTGGAGCAGCTAAGCAGCTAGCCACTCACAAGATGTTATTTTAAATTATATTATAATTAGGATTGAAAAACAGTAGATTTTATTATTCAAAATATATTTCAGTAAAATTGCTATTTTTGCATTTAATTCTCATGTTCCCTCCAACTTTCTGGGGCCCTCTAGCGCCTCCTGGTGGCCCTCCAAGGGGCCATGGACCTAGTTCACCCCCTTTAACCCCTCCCCACAGCTAGCAAGCATACCCTGTAATAAATGCTAAGGCTAGTTAGCATAGCCACTGATGTCGGCAGATTGACAGTTTTCCAGTAACTGTAAGTTGTTTCCATTAGCACATTTAGCAGCGTGAACTCGAGGATGATTGCCAGTGCTAAGCCCCGCCTCCCGGTTCTGATTGGTTGTGTTTGGTTGTTTGATCAACAGATTATCTGTTTCATGACGTCACAACATGGAGGCAGATTGAATAAATATGGAAAACAAACTTAGTATTTAATATGGTTACAAACTGCAGCTTTAGAGCAACCTTAAGATTCTGGTCGGGTTCTGATCAGGTTCTGGTAGGGTTCTAATCAGGTTCTGATCAGGTTCTGATCAGGTTCTGGTAGGGTTCTAATCAGGTTCTGATCAGGTTCTGGTAGGGTTCTAATCAGGTTCTGATCAGGTTCTAATCAGGTTCTGGTCGGGTTTGGTCGGGTTCTGATCAGGTCCCGATCGGGTTCTGGTCGGGTTCTGAGGTCCACTTCAGTCTGGTTTCCAGTGTCATCCTGCAGCTGAAGGCAGGAATCTGAAATGAGAGATTTTACATTTTGTCACAAAACATTGTACAATAATTAAACAATAAAATCGTTACATAATCAGTTCAAGAAAACTAAAGGAACATTAAATATTGACATGAGCAGAAGAAGAAAACCGTTTTATCTCCTGCTGTCACTGGAAACCAGTCAGAATGATGCCGATTGAAAGTTTCCTCAGTCGGGATCAGAGTAAATCGTTGTGATTCTGCAGCTTTAAACTGTTTATGATTATTTATTCATGAAATTATTCTAGACTTTCATTTATTAAAAGTTGATCTTCTTTGTGTTTCTGCAGTAAAGAACCAGTGAATGGATGACGTGGCGCCAGCGGTGGAAAGTAACTAGTTACAAAAGTAACTAGTTACTTTTACTCGAGTATTAAGTGGTGACGCAGCATCTCTTCACCTGTTGCAGGTTTTGTCCTTCAGTTTCTGTCAGAGTGAGACCTCCTGTTTCTGCAGCAGCTTTGTTTCTCTCGTGTCCACTCAGGCTGCGTGGAAAAAACTCCAGAAATCACCAGCATTAAATGTAGCAGCTTCATAAGTTTTATATTCAAAATGTTTGTTTTGCTGAAAACTTGACATTTTGTACATAAGTTGTTTTTTATAAAACTTCACAGTTTTATATTTAAGTTTAAGGTTTTTAAACATTTTTAACGTCATTTTCAAACATTAAAGTTATGATGAATTTTTAACATCACATTTTTATCAAATAGTTTTCACTTGAGTGGCAGAAATATTAATGCTGGAGGATCCAAGCAGAACCGGGCAGAACCAACCCGGACTTCCAGAACCGGGCAGAACCACGGGCTGATCTCACTGGCTGTGGTTTACTGACACTTTGTCCTTCCACTGAACTTTCCACTCATACAGTTGAACAGCAGCTTGTTTCAAGCTGTTTGGATGTTAAATATGTGAAATAAATTCATTTGAAAACATTTTAATTGTTCTATAAACGCTGCAAAGACAATTTGGCCGATCGCATTTTTAATATTACTTTATGAGTTTATTTATCCAGAACCTTCCAGGTTTCTACAGGATATTCCAGGTTCCTCCAGGTTATTCCAGGTTTCCTCCATGTTATTCCAGATTTCTCCAGGTTCCTACAGGTTATTCCAGGTTTCCTCCAGGTTATTCCAGGTTATTTCAGGTTCCTCCAGGTTTCTCCAGGTTATTCCAGGTTATTCCAGGCTCCACCGCCCCTCCCCCACAGACAGCAGAGTGTGTCCAGTGATCACTCCGCCTGCTCGCGCCCTCATTGGCTGCGTGGATGTTTTCACGTGGATCCTGCGTGGGTCCTTGAAGAGGCAGAAAGTGCAGCGGCTCCTGGTTGCTGCGTGACAGCAGAGCGCAGCGGGTTTGCAGGCGGTGGGACGGAACCGCGACCCGGCAGGCGTTTCTCCGAACCTGCTGCAGGTAAAGCTCCGCAGCGACCTGCGCGTTGTGAGCAGAACCAGAACCAGAACCAGAACCGATTGAAGGTTTTCATGGGAAACAACCAACTGACGGAACCGTTAATCTGCTGCCGTTTGAACGGATTGAACTGAAACTGCGGTTTGCTGCAGAAACCCGGTTAATGTCGGGTCCAAAGGGAGCTGGTTCCGAAGACGCTCCAGAGTCAGAAAGTGGGTCAAATGGCGGCAGCGACCGGGAGGTTGTTCTGGACCGAGCGGGCCGGACCGGTTCTGGACGGGAAAAGTTTGAGCTGCGGTTCGATGGAGGAGTTCTGGACCTCCGACCCGGATCCCTGGAAGCTCAGCGGGATTCCTGATGTGGGTCAGAACCACGCAGAGGAAGATGTTCCGCTCGGTCCGGACTCCGACCCGGTGGGTTCGGGTTTCTGCTTTTAAAGGTCCGACTCGTTGTTCGGTTCTGAATCAGACAAAAGAACGATCCGGTTCAGGCTTCTGGTTCGGTTCAGATTCACATGTAACGTTTTGGCTTCCTGTAGAAAATCTTGTTCAGTTTTGATTCTAAAAAGTGAAAGTTGTAGTTATGAGAAAGAAATGGATCCAGTTCTGATCCAGTTTGGATCCAGTTCTGATCCAGTTCTGACCCAGTTCTGATCCAGTTTGGATCCAGTTCTGACCCAGTTCTGATCCAGTTCTGATCCAGTTTGGATCCAGTTCTGACCCAGTTCTGACCCAGTTTGGATCCATTGATCCTGATTTCCAGTGGAAAGGTTTTTCTTTTGACTGAATCAAAACGTGCAGCAGAGAAATGACGTCTAAATCCTTTCTATCCATTTGGACTCTGGCTGGTTCTGCGGTGCCGACCCAAACCGACCCGGTTCTCCTGCTGCTCCAGCCGCTGAGGATCTGATGGTTTTGGGTCGTCAGGTTGGTTCATGAACTGAATCCTGTTCATAAAGAGCTTTAGGAATAAATTAACATTAATGAAAGTTGAGTTTTGGTGATTGAACTAGGACCATCCTGGATTATGTAAACCGGTTACATCAGGTGTGTCTCCATGGCAGCAGCCAGAGCCAAACCGGGCCAAGCGGGTCGCAGTTTGGCCCAGAAACCGGGCCTGATGTTTGACCCAGTTTAATAAAACCGTTTATTTTATATCACATATAATAGAAATGAGGGAATAAATCAAACCCACTGAATGTTGGTGGAGTCTAGTCAAAGCCCGTTCTGTTTGATCTATGAAAGGAATTTCTGGTTTTATCAGAACATTAAGATAAAAATGAAACAAACTGAGAGTCACTTCCGATTAGAGGTCAAGTGTAAGGGCAGTGAAGCTGTGAGAGGTCACCGTTTCCCCTTTGACCCTCAGAGGTCACCGTTTCCCCTTTGACCCTCAGAGGTCACCGTTTCCCCTTTGACCCTTGGAGTCGGGGTTCATTTAACGTTTATCAGTTTGAAACATAACTGCTGCAGAACAAACAGAATGGATCTGATTTCTCTGTTTCATAATCATGTTCTGGACTTTGTTATGAACATCTGATCTCCTTCTGCAAACGCAACCTGCAACTAGCAACCTGCAACTAGCAACTGGCAACTAGCAACCAGCAACTAGCAACCAGCAACTAGCAACCAGCAACTTGCAACCCACAACTGGCAACCTGCAACCAGCAACTAGCAACCTGCAACTAGCAACCTGCAACTAGCAACCGGCAACTAGCAACCAGCAACTAGCAACCTGCAACTAGCAACCGGCAACTAGCAACCAGCAACTAGCAACCTGCAACTAGCAACCAGCAACTAGCAACCAGCAACTAGCAACCTGCAACCAGCAACTAGCAACCTGCAACTAGCAACCTGCAACTAGCAACCGGCAACTAGCAACCAGCAACTAGCAACCTGCAACTAGCAACCGGCAACTAGCAACCAGCAACTAGCAACCTGCAACTAGCAACCGGCAACTAGCAACCAGCAACTAGCAACCTGCAACTAGCAACCTGCAACCAGCAACCAGCAACTGGCAACCTGCAACCAGCAACTAGCAACCTGCAACTAGCAACCTGCAACTAGCAACCGGCAACTAGCAACCAGTAACTAGCAACCTGCAACTAGCAACCAGCAACTTGCAACCCACAACTAGCAACTGGCAACCTGCAACCAGCAACTAGCAACCGGCAACTAGCAACCTGCAACCGGCAACTTGCAACCCGCAACTAGCAACTGGCAACCAGCAACTAGCAACCGGCAACCTGCAACCAGTAACTAGCAACCTGCAACCAGAAACTAGCAACCTGCAACTAGCAACCGGCAACTTGAAACCCACAACTAGCAACCGGCAACCTGCAACTAGCAACCAGCAACTAGCAACTGGCAACCAGCAACCTGCAACTAGCAACCTGCAACCAGTAACTAGCAACCTGCAACCTGCAACTAGCAACCGGCAACTAGCAACCGGCAACTTGCAACCCACAACTAGCAACCGGCAACTAGCAACCAGCAACTTGCAACCCGCAACTAGCAACCTGCAACCAGCAACTAGCAACCGGCAACCTGCAACTAGCAACCTGCAAGCAGTAACTAGCAACCAGCAACTAGCAACCGGCAACTAGCAACCTGCAACTAGCAACCGGCAACTAGCAACCGGCAATTTGCAACCCACAACTAGCAACCGGCAACTAGCAACCGGCAACCTGCAACCAGCAACCGGCAACTAGCAACCTGCAACTAGCAACCGGCAACTGGCAACCTGCAACTAGCAACCTGCAACTAGCAACCGGCAACTAGCAACCAGCAACTAGCAACCAGCAACTTGCAACCCACAACTAGCAACCAGCAACTTGCAACCCACAACTAGCAACCGGCAACTAGCAACCGGCAACTTGCAACCCGCAACTAGCAACTGGCAACCTGCAACCAGCAACTAGCAACCGGCAACCTGCAACCAGTAACTAGCAACCTGCAACCAGCAACTAGCAACCTGCAACCAGCAACTAGCAACCTGCAACCAGAAACTCGCAACCTGCAACTAGCAACCGGCAACTTGAAACCCACAACTAGCAACCGGCAACCTGCAACTAGAAACCATCAACTAGCAACTTGCAACCCGCAACCAGCAACTAGCAACTGGCAACTAGCAACCTGCAGCTAGCAACCGGCAACTAGCAACCGGCAACTTGCAACCCACAACTAGCAACCGGCAACTAGCAACCAGCAACTTGCAACCCGCAACTAGCAACCGGCAACCTGCAACCAGCAACTAGCAACCAGCAACTAGCAACCTGCAAGCAGTAACTAGCAACCTGCAACCAGCAACTAGCAACCGGCAACTAGCAACCTGCAACTAGCAACCGACAACTAGCAACCGGCAACTTGCAACCCACAACTAGCAACCGGCAACTAGCAATTGGCAACCTGCAACTAGCAACCGGCAACTGGCAACCAGCAACTAGCAATTGGCAACCTGCAACTAGCAACCTGCAACTAGCAACCGGCAACTAGCAACCAGCAACTAGCAACCAGCAACTTGCAACCCACAACTAGCAACCAGCAACTTGCAACCCACAACTAGCAACCGGTAACTAGCAACCTGCAACCGGCAACTAGCAACCTGCAACCAGCAACCTGCAACCAGAAACTCGCAACCTGCAACTAGCAACCGGCAACTTGAAACCCACAACTAGCAACCGGCAACCTGCAACTAGCAACCAGCAACTAGCAACTTGCAACCCGCAACTAGCAACCAGCAACTAGCAACTGGCAACCAGCAACCGCAACCTGCAACTAGCAACCTGCAACTAGCAACCTGCAGCTAGCAACCGGCAACTAGCAACCGGCAACTTGCAACCCACAACTAGCAACCGGCAACTAGCAACCTGCAACTTGCAACCCGCAACTAGCAACTGGCAACCTGCAACCAGCAACTAGCAACCAGCAACTAGCAACCTGCAAGCAGTAACTAGCAACCTGCAACCAGCAACTAGCAACCGACAACCTGCAACTAGCAACCGGCAACTAGCAACCTACAACTAGCAACCGGCAACTGGCAACCTGCAACTAGCAACCAGCAACTTGCAACCCGCAACTAGCAACTAGCAACCTGCAACTAGCAACCTGCAACTAGCAACCGGCAACTTGCAACCCAAAACTAGCAACTAGCAACCGGCAACCTGCAACTAGCAACCTGCAACTAGCAACCGGCAACTTGCAACCCACAACTAGCAACTTGCAACTAGCAACCAGCAACTTGCAACCCACAACTAGCAACTAGCAACCTGCAACTAGCAACTGGCAACCTGCAACTAGCAACCGGCAACCTGCAACTAGCCAGGATGACATAACAGGATCTTAAACTCATTCCATGTTTTTTATGCACAATTTCAAACATTAAAGACAAAATATTCATTTTAAATTCACTAAAATTTGACTTTCCAAGTCAAGGTGAGCAAACGTTGTGCTGACCCGGTTCTGCTGACCCGGTTGTGCTGACCCGGTTGTGCTGACCCGGTTCTGCTGACCCGGTTGTGCTGACCCGGTTCTGCTGGATATTGGGCTTTAGATTGCAGTTTGGGTCAATAATGTGGTTTAATCCACAGCTGGAAGGAACCAGGGCAGGAAACCCGATGAGTTTGACTTTCTGCGCTGAATGTGCAGCAGTAGAGCGGCGCCGACCCAAACCGACCCGGATCAGAACCAGGAGATCAGAACCAAAACATCACAACGTGGATCTGAAAGTAGAGAAGGAATCATTTCTGCTCTGCTGGAGTTTTGCTGTATTTTGCTGCTGCCAATAACTGATACAGTTATTGATCTGAAGTCATTGATGACCTTCATTGATTAACGATCGAGTGTTTTACCGAACCCAGGTGTAAAACCCAGAGGCAGGGCTGACCCTGACCCCCTGGGTCACACGGTGCTGCTCGGCCCGGTTGGGAGTCGAGTGGGCAGGAAGGAAACATGGCTGCTCTCTCAGCCAACCTGGTCACGGTGGTGACCTTGTCGTGACCTTGCCGCGACCTTGCTGTGACCTTGCTGTGACCTTGCTGCACGCTGGTGGTCGTCTGATTGTGGTGCCGAAGACCTTGACATTGTCCTTGGTTCTGTTGATGCAGGTGAACTGAGTCCGTCTTTCTGACAGACTCAGTTCACCTGCAGCCTGGACCAGATGTTGGGGAACCAGATGTTGGGGAACCAGATGTTGGGGAACCAGATGTTGGGGAACCAGATGTTGGGGAACCAGATGTTGGGGAACCAGAGGCGGTTCTGAGGAGCGATGACGGTTTGCAGCTCAACACTGACAGTCTGATGCTCTGTGTTTCAGTGCTGTGTGGATGTTTCCTCCTGAGCCTGACATGCCGATGGACGTGACCATTCCCCTCTTCCTGTCCAAGGAGGAGTTCGTCTTCACCACCCCGTCCACGGTGCAGACGTCAATCCGAAGCTCCTGCCTGAGGTTCCCGCACACAACCTGTGTTAACAAAACTGAGCCTGAAGATGGCGCCATCACTAACAAAGATACAAAAAAAAAGAAACGCGTTACGTTTGCTGACCACAAAGGTCTGTCCTTAACCAAGGTGAAGATCTTCTCCAAGTTCACAGACCCCATAGAAATCCCCGTGAACATCCAGGAGATGCTGAGCTCCAAGCTCACGCTGGCGTCCACAGAGGAGGACAAACTGGTGCTGGACTTCACTCACCGTCCTCAGACTACCTGCTGTTCCGGCAGAACCTGGAGCAGAACCTGGTGAGCCTGGAGCACTGCGTGCTGAAGGAGAAGGCCTTTGCAGGAACCGTCAAAGTAAAAAATGTATCGTTTGAGAAGTCTGTGATGCTTCGGGTGACCTTTGACTCGTGGAAAAGCCACACGGACGTCGGCTGTGAATACGTGACGGACACGTACCCGACCTCGTTCAGCGACACCTTCTCCTTCGAGGTGTCTCTGCCCGCCGAGATGTGGCCCAGCGAGCAGGTGGAGTTCGCCGTGTGCTACAAGGTGAGCGGGAACGAGTACTGGGACAGCAACCGGGGGAAGAACTACCGCATCGTCCGGCCCTACATGAGGAGAGACCAGCAGTCGGACTCATCGCGGTTCGGGATGCACTTCGACCGGTACGGCAGCCCCACCTGCTCACACGGGCTCTTCCCCGACTGGCCGAGTTACGCCGGCTACGAGAACATCGGGCCTTACTACTGAACACCTGATGTCAGGTTTTAACCTGCAGGTTGCCAGTGATGACTTGCTTGTTTTAAATGGTTTCTGTAAGGTTGGGTTGCTCCTGACGTCCGTCTCACTGTCTGCTGGATCACTCTGCGGACCTGGTCTGGCTCCACAGGGGGTCTTTACCTCATCATCATCATTTCAGATCAGATTTTAAAGCTGCTGTTGTAACGAACTGACCAAACCTCCACTAATTTGCCTTGAAGTTCTCAGGTTTTACCTTCAGAGGGACAATCGGAGCAAACCGGAGCTGCTAACAGGAAGTCCAGTAGTTTTTATTCACCGGTTAAAGGTCACCCCAGGTGTCCTGCTGCCTCTTCTGCTACTGGGAACATTTTTAAGCTATTAACTCGTTTATTCTCAGGAAGTTTGGGGTTCAGGAAGAACTGTCCTCATTCTGACAGGATCAAAATGTCCCGGTTTCCTGGATCAGAGTAAATTCACTTCTTTAGCTCATTTGTGGTGAATTTGTCTGTTTTTGAACTCGGTGTTGATCCGTCACAGATCAGCTGATGATTGTTGGTTTTCCTTTCTGTCTAGTTTCTTTCAACATGGCGGCTGGCCTGTAAAGTTCAGTGATGTGAAGTTTTTAACGTTCTGCTGTTGGATTCAGGCGCTTCCTGCGTCAGCTGCAACCTGCTGACAGCCTTGTTTTATCAGTGACCTTGAAAAGTGAAAAAGTTGCTTTACTTCACATAATCTGTGCCGTTATTGTGACAATATGAACTTGGACACTTTATCCTGAAAGTTGACTGCGAGGAGTTTAAAGCTTCATGGTTCTCAGATCAACAGGGTCCTGGTCGCTTTCGCTTCAAAGCGATGCAGAAATTTGCTCATCAGTAGATGCAGGGAGGAAAGCGCGGCTGGGATCTTTGGGTTTTAAAGAGGAGGGAAGGAAACGGAGGCCAGAACTTTCCCCACGCAGAAAACGAAGCTTCCTCGGCTTCCAGTGAATCTGTGAACATAAACCTGAAAATAAATCAGTTCAGTTTCATTTAGTGGTTTGATGAGCCAGTGAGTGAGCTTTGGTGTTAGCACCGAGTTTCTGTTTTAACTGTGTGTATGTGTCTGTGTGTGTGTGTATGTGTCTGTGTGTGTGTCTGTGTGTGTGTGTATGTGTCTGGGTGTGTGTGTGTGTGTCTGGGTGTGTGTGTGTGTGTGTATGTGTCTGGTGTGTGTGTGTGTCTGGTGTGTGTGTGTGTGTCTGTGTGTGTGTGTATGTGTCTGTGTGTGTGTGTATGTGTCTGGGTGTGTGTGTGTGTCTGGGTGTGTGTGTGTGTGTGTATGTGTCTGTGTGTGTGTGTGTGTCTGGGTGTGTGTGTGTGTGTCTGTGTGTGTGTGTGTCTGTGTGTGTGTGTGTCTGTGTGTGTGTGTATGTGTCTGTGTGTGTGTGTATGTGTCTGGGTGTGTGTGTGTGTCTGGGTGTGTGTGTGTGTGTCTGTGTGTGTGTGTATGTGTCTGTGTGTGTGTGTATGTGTCTGGGTGTGTGTGTGTGTCTGGGTGTGTGTGTGTGTGTGTGTATGTGTCTGTGTGTGTGTGTGTGTCTGGGTGTGTGTGTGTGTGTCTGTGTGTGTGTGTGTCTGTGTGTGTGTGTGTCTGTGTGTGTGTGTATGTGTCTGTGTGTGTGTGTATGTGTCTGGGTGTGTGTGTGTGTCTGGGTGTGTGTGTGTGTGTCTGTGTGTGTGTGTGTCTGTGTGTGTGTATGTGTCTGTGTGTGTGTGTATGTGTCTGGGTGTGTGTGTGTGTCTGGGTGTGTGTGTGTGTGTGTATGTGTCTGGGTGTGTGTGTGTGTGTCTGTGTGTGTGTGTGTGTCTGGGTGTGTGTGTGTGTGTGTGTCTGGGTGTGTGTGTGTGTGTGTGTGTGTGTGTGTGTGTTTGGCCTGCTATCAGGGTCTGAATGACTCGGACGTCATTTTTAATAAAAGGTTAATAAAGTTCTTCCATGTTTGACTCAAAGATGAATCTCAGTGTGTGACGATAATCTCTTGTCATCAAAAGAATAAAAAGTATATTTTTATCCAGACTCTGGTTGGTCGGCTTCTGTCTTACATAAGTCAAATTAGTATCTAAATTAATATTTTAAAGTATCCTGATACATTTATTGAGGAGCTAAATGTTCTTCAGCTACTTGAATTCATGTTTTCTATTTTTTGGTTTTGCATCAAGAAGCTTTTTTATTTCCTTTTATGTAATAATTTTACATGTTTTTTATTCTGGTGATTTTCTAAATGTTTCTCCAGCAGGGGGCGCCATATGTGCTCCAAATCTGACTCTTAATTTCAATAAAACACAATCAGAATATTTGATTCAGAATATTAAAACTGATTATTATGGAGTTTTTGGTTTAAAGTAATAAACGTTTGGCAAACAGCTTGATTTACTGGAGCAGCGCCACCACCTGGTGCTGGTGGTCAATCACGCTTTCTATCAGCAGATAAACTGGGAAAAACGGTTTAGACAAATACTTGAAATTCACAGGTCTTTTGATGCAAAAGTTGAACACTGTACACATTTCAGTGAACTTGTTACATTTTAAAGATGCAGGAGTTGATCAGTGCATGTCAGGCTCACCAGTGAACCAGACATTTGCTTTTGCTACTCCACATGTTGGCGTTTTAAATGTTGACTAGTCATCAGCCTGCTAGTTTTACTAGTCATCAGCCTGCTAGTTTTACTAGTCATCAGCCTGCTCAGCTGCTAGTGTGCTAGTTTTACTAGTTTCTCCTGGAAGTTTGGTGAACTTCCAGGAGAAAAAGTTTTAAGAGTGATAAACTAATGTCTCTAAAAGTATTTTTTAAATCAGTGCATGTTAAAATGTGGGGAGGAAGATTTACCTGGTGCAGTTTAGTTTTAAACTGCAGACCCGGTTCTGAGTTATTTCTGCCGTAATGTGACCTCTAGCTGACCTTTTCATGAACAACACAGGCTGGACCCAACGTCCGGTTCGCATTCATCCAACCTGGATACCATCGATACCCGGCAAATCTCACTGTTCTGCATCCTGATTCTCACAAGCAGGAAGACAAACTGAACGGGGGTTTAGTTTAGTTGCTGCTCTGGTCGGACAAATCAAATCAAATTTTATTAGTAGAGCACATTTCAGCAGCAAGGCATTTCAAAGTGCTTTATATCATAAACACAAAGTCATGCAACATATAATAAATAATACATTGTTACATATTACATTTCAAATAAAACTCTAAACAGGTGAGTTTTTAGTTGAGATTTAAAGGAAGTCAGGGTTTCTGCTGTTTTACAGTTTTCTGGAAGTTTGTTTAAATTTGTGGTGCATAGATGCTGAAAGCTGCACCGTTAGCATCCATGTTTTACTTCCACAAACACTGAGAACGCTCTGTTATTGCGCCCCCTACTGCGCATGCAGGACACTTCGGGGCGATGCCCGGTCACACCGGCGATCGATCCTGGTCGCTGTACTGTGGGAACAGCCACGGCAAAAAATCAGAAGTGGGTCACTTGTTTCAAGTGACCCACTTCTGCCTTTCTAACAAACTAACGCTGCGGTGTGAACGCAGCGTTAGTTTGTTAGAAAGAACCCATGAAAACTACGCGTCTTCTGGAGTCCTCAATGTTTCATCTTCTCTCAGTGAAAATGAGTTCAAAACGTCTGAACCTTTTTGATCATTTCAGATTTTGCTCATTTGACAACCTTGACTGATGTGATATGTTTGATTCGTGTCTGGGGGATGATCTCTAAAAGATCCGGTCAGGATCTCCTTCCGTCTATCAGCTCATATGAACAGACGTCTGGACTCTTGACCCGAGTCACAGTCGGTGAAAAACAAATGGACGAGCAGAAAGATGTGCTCTGACAAACGCTCCGTTGAACTACAGCGTAGCAGTGAGGTTTGATGATGAAGTCTGGTTCCAGGTCACAGAGCAGGAAAGACATCAGGCAGCAGATGTGATGTTTTATGAGATCTTTGGTGTTGAAGATAAATCTCTGCTCCGGCCTCTGACCGTCATCGATGCTGCTGGACATGAAGGCGTTGAAGGAGATGCTGCAATCAGAGAAAGGTCATCAGACGTCCTGCAGGTGGATGACCAAGAGGCAGCCGTTGTGTTCCTGCTGCTGAACGCAGGTGACGGTCTGCAGACCAGCTGACTGAAGCGCAGAGTTTTAATCACAAACTCACAGGGACAAAATCTCAGCAACATTATGCAAGGTCTGGAAACTCTGGAAACAAATTAAATGTTTTAAAAATGGAAAGAGGGAACCATTTTACTTCATGTTTAATAACCGGCAGCATGAAGACTGGACTGGAAATACAGATGAGCTGGAGCAGGCTTATAAATGATCAGAGAGGGAACGCTGGAAGTTAACAGGTTTTCTAAAAGAAGCTGAGGGTCGAATGATTTTGGCAGCAGTTGAAGAGCTTCATGAGCGTAAAGTTGCATCCAGAACCAGAACAGAATCCGGCTGATGGATCTAAAGGTAGCGGAAATCAAACAGATTCAAAAAGCCCTACAGAACCATGTAGAAGAGGTAAAAACAGTGAGCACTTTGCTGTAGAATGGATGAATTTCCAGTTTAACAAGTTAGCAGTGAAAAGTTTACAGTGGAAGAAGAAGAATATCAAACATCACATGTCATGACTCCATCCTCATGGAGATGATTCTGCAGTTAAAATCTTCCTCTGAATTTTTGGTTGCAGTGTCTTGCTATAAAGAACTGAAACCTAGTTTTCCTTAGAAGAGTAAAATCTTTAAGGACAGTTCATGTTTTAAATCACAAGTTGAAAGATTTATTGAACAGAAAGAAGCAGAATAAGTTATTATGTAGTGAAGTTTTTAAATCTTCTGTTTGTCCACATTACTTTTCATTATCTTTGGTTTATTCTACAACTTCTCTGTTGGTTTAACCTTCTGAATAACTTTCACGATTTTTCCCTGTCAGGAAGTTTCAGTTGGTTCTCAAGCGCAGAACATCGTTAAGAATGAAATTATTGTTTCTTTCCAGGTAGAGAAACAACAATAATTTGAGTCCAGGTTGAACTCGTGGCTCTCTCTGGATCGGAACCAGAACATGTCTGTACCTGTGGGTGAAAACGTTTTACATCAAACTGAATGTTTTAAATGTTGCTTTCAGGTATAAAGTGAATGTAAATGTGTTTCCTATTGCCTGCCTTCAGACAGCATTAGGCTAAATCCAGGATAATTATACTGCAGCTCATGTATCTGAGTTACAAAATAATCTAAACACAACCTGAACTTATTACGCCTTTCCTGATGCACATGGAAAGATCCAACACCAAAAAGAGACGACATTTTAAATCCAGAATATATCACTACTGCTGTATTATAGATGTAACTTTGACTTAAAGTGAGAAACGTATGAATCTGTGAACAAGACAAAAGTATAACAGTTTAGTTATACATTTGAAAATTGTACCTGAAGTTTCTTCAATAAATCCTGATGCAGCTGCATCCTGACCAGCAGAGGGCGATGCTGCACCAAATCTGATCAGCTCTGGAAAAATCCAGGGGGTCCAGAGCAACATGTACAACTGGAATATGTCCTGCATCATATCACAGGAAAAATGGAAAAAACTTAATGCAACCAAGAGGATGTCTGCAAGAGGAAGAGCAAAGTGCATGAACTGAGTGTGAGGATGTGGAGAAATGTGGAAAAGAGGAAAGAACTTGGAGTTTATTGTAAACAAACCGCAGGAGCATATTATTCCAAAAGCAAAGTTTAACTGTAGAGTTAATGTTTTTTTTACAAAGTAAATTAAACTGGAAAATCAAGAATTAAATAAAATGTTTTAAGTTTTTAGGAATGTGGTGAGATGAAAAACTAACATGAAAGATACACACATAGTTTTGGACAAATGTAAAAAAGCTCCAACTACAAAGAGCTGCTTAGTAGAGTTAGCATTAAAGGTTATTGGACTACTGGTGAGCAGTCGGGTTCGGCTGAAAGGTTCAGCCGAACCCACATTTTAAAAAATCTGGATCAGATTTGAAAATGACATATTTCCTTAAAACTATGAAAATTTGTACAGAATGTAGGAAGAGGCAGATTTTAGGAAACGGTTTGGTTTGTTATCAGTGTTTGTCATTCTGATGGGGATGAATCTGAAACAGCCCAACCAATGAACCACCAGCTTCCTACCTTCACAAACGTCATTAAACAATGCTGTCCTCCTATTTGGTCACATAATCAATAATTTCTTTTACCATTTCCAAGGAACAACAACTTAACCTTTGACGCGACATACTTATGGCATGTTTTCCTACTTGGTTTTCTGTAAACATGTGGATGTGCTAAAATAATGTCTTGGTTTCCCTTCAGACTGTAGAAACAAATCCATTTCCTGCTGAGCAACATTGGATTTGACACAATATTAATCTGACTGACAAATGGAAACAGCAAAATCAGAGAAACAGTTTTTCCTGTGTAATCAACCAAACAGTTGAAGATCAGGGCGATGAATTCACCTGTTCATTTCAGTTTATTTCTATAGCAACAATTCACAGCAGATTTCACTGAGCTGTCGACTTGCAACACTGGTTTAGACCCAGTTGATTGTAGTTCTAGTTAGAACAAGGTTACTGGTCTCTACACATGCAAGACATGGTGGATAAAATTCTAAGCCAGTGTAAAATATGTGCTGAAAACAATGCTCAAAAAAGCATAAACCAAGTATCGGACACATTTCCAGTTGCAGAAGAACCTTTTAGACCATTTGCTGACACTTCAGTGTCATCGACATCCAGTAATTCATGAAGAAAGTTTCTCTTTCAGAAGTTTTGGTCCAAAAATGACAACTTCTCTCTTTAAAATCAAGAAAACCATCAAAGTCCCAGAGGAAATAAAGACAAAACTGCTCAACAGTTAAGAGGTTAAGTTGTTATTAACAGAAAGATTTTTCTTTATTATCACTAGTCAACAGAAGAACAGAAATATTCTTCTGTTGACTAGTCTTAGAAAATGCCAATTGTTTTTGAATATTCCAGTTTTTGGTCAAATCTCAATAAAATGTGCTTTTAACAGGTTTTTCTTGTTCCAGGCATTAGTGTGTTCTGGAAACTACGTATGTTACTGTCAGAAACCAAAGTTCTCATGCATGCCGCAATGTCTCTGATGTAAATAACCCTGGGAGGAAAAGGTGTTTGAATAGGGGCTGATTTTGGCAGCATGTACGGAATGTGTTCCTACTTGATTTAGTCTCTCAGTTCCCCCTTCACACAATAGAGCTACAAAAACAAATCCATTTCCTGCTGAACAACATGTTTAGAAGATGTTTGGATTTCCAAGAAGCCTTTTGGATTTAACATAATGTTGATGGAAATGGAAACGGCAAACATCAGAGAAGACAGTTTTTTCTGTGTAATCAACCAAACAGTTGAAGATCAGGGCGATGAATTCACCTGTTCATTTCAGTTTATTTCTATAGCAACAATTCACAGCAGATTTCACAGAATTTCCAATGACTGTCGATACCGGAGCAGCTTACACTTGTATATGTCCAAATCATGCAAGCATCTCCCCATGTCTGATAAATTTGTATCAACTGTAGGGTTCTCGGGAACAAGACAATTAATCCAAATGACAGCTCCTGTTCGACTTGCAGCAAATAACAGAGAAATAAAAATACCAACTTTGGTATCTGATCAAACACAAATTAATCTGCTAGGAAGAGATGCTCTAAGCAAATTAAAAATAAAAAATCTGGTGTTCTCAAGGTGTGTATGTTGAAAAAGGATCTTCAAATGTACATGCAACAACATGAAGCTGAAGTTTATTGGCTGGAGACATAAATAACTCGATTGAAGAAGTAATTTCTAAATGGGGTCAGTACACTCAAATACAAATTCATGAAGCTAAAAAAAACATTTCTGGATTATCATTGCACAATGTACTGACATTTCAAAAAGCTCAGTTTGAAGAACAATGGGATAAAGAGACACAAGGTGAATCAGTGAACCACCTGTCCCAATACATTGTTGGTGGGAGACAAGGAGACTGTCATAAAGTGAGGTGGTGGAGGTGGTGAGGCAGACGCTAGAGACCCAGGTAAGTTGAATGGCGAGTAATTTAATAAAAAATAATCCACAAAAACAGTCCAAACAGTAGTCCGCGGCCAGGCAGCACGGCTGAGCAGAAGCCAGGGCTCACACCGGTAGCAACTGGTCTTAAGGGCGGCACAAAAAAACAACAACGACAATCTGACTAAACAACAAAAGTACGACAAGGACCCGACGAGGAACAGAGGACACAGGAGGACAAATACACTGAGGGTAATCAAGGGAATAAGACACACCTGGGAACAATCAAGGGGAAGACAGGACAACGAGGAGACACAGGACACAGAAACTCAGAATTAAACACAGAAAAACACGAACCTGACAGAGACGCGATCAATGTAGAGATTCATGATTTGATTTCTCAATGGTACAATGTTGCAGATGCTGTACCACACACAACATTGCTTGCAAATAAAAATAAAAAAGACCTTGGACCTGAAGAACATCTCCAGGATTAGAGGACTAATGTCTCAGCCAGATCTAGAGAAACTCATTCATGCGTTTATCTTTAGTCGCATTGATTATTGTAACAGCGTCTTCACAGGCCTGTCCAACAAATCAATCCTCCAGCTGATCCAGAAGCTGCTGCTCCTGTTCTCACTAGAACCAGGAAGATAGAGACATAACAGCAGTTTTAAAGTCCCTCCACTGGCTCCCTGTAGCTCAAAGAATAGATTTTAAAATACTGTTGTTAGTTTATAAATCACTGAACGGTTTAGCACCACAATACATCAAAGATCTGCTGTTGTTGTATCAACCTTCCAGACTCTCAGGTTCTGGTTCTGGTTCTGATCTGCATCCCCAGAACCAGAACCAAGAGAGGAGAAGCAGCTTTCAGCATCTATGCACCAAACATCTGGAACAAACTTCCAGAAAACTGTAAAACAGCAGAAACCCTGACTTCCTTTAAATCTCGACTAAAAACCAGCTGATTAGAGTTTGATTAGAAATGTAATATGTAACAATGTATTGTCTATTATATGTTGCATGACTTTGTATTCTTGTGTTTATGATGTAAAGCACTTTAAAGTGCCTTGCTGCTGAAATGTGCTATACAAATAAAATTTGATTTGATTTGAACATGATCTTTGGATACGCAGAGGTGCTATGATGAGTGAAAATGGCTTATGAAGGTCACAAATGCCTCCTGATGGCATTACTATTAATCAGAAGCCCATGGCTTAGACCATTGTGCCCAAGGAAAAGTTATGGAAAAATTGAAAAGAACAAGGTTACTGGTCTCTACACATGCAAGACATGGTGGATAAAATTCTAAGCCAGTGTGAAATATGTGCTGAAAACAATGCTCAAAAAAGCATAAAACCAAGTATCGGACACATTCCAGTTGCAGAAGAACCTTTTAGACATTTGCTGACACTTCAGTGTCATCGACATCCAGTAATTCATGAAGAAAGTTTCTCTTTCAGAAGTTTTGGTCCAAAAATGACAACTTCTCTCTTTAAAATCAAGAAAACCATCAAAGTCCCAGAGGAAATAAAGACAAAACTGCTCAACAGTTAAGAGGTTAAGTTGTTATTAACAGAAAGATTTTTCTTTTATTATCACTAGTCAACAGAAGAACAGAAATATTCTTCTGTTGACTAGTCTTAGAAAAATGCCAATTGTTTTTGAATATTCCAGTTTTTGGTCAAATCCCAATAAAATGTGCTTTTAACAGGTTTTCTTGTTCCAGGCATTAGTGTGTTCTGGAAACTACGTATGTTACTGTCAGAAACCAAAGTTCTCATGCATGCCGCAATGTCTCTGATGTAAATAACCCTGGGAGGAAAAGGTGTTTGAATAGGGGCTGATTTTGGCAGCATGTACGGAATGTGTTCCTACTTGATTTAGTCTCTCAGTTCCCCCTTCACACAATAGAGCTACAAAAACAAATCCATTTCCTGCTGAACAACATGTTTAGAAGATGTTTGGATTTCCAAGAACTGCTCTTCTGTTAGTAAATATTATTGAAGCAGAAATAACAAGAGAGAAAACAATTTTAGTCTGTTTTATCAACCAGATAAAATATTTTGCCTTAATACACCCACAGTGAGCATTTGATTACATCCAAGTCAGCAGCTCTTGATTTGTTGTATTTTATAACAGTAGAGTGAGGTATAAATGCAGGAACTAAAAATGAACAGATGTCAATGTGTGACCTTGTATTTGATTCAATATAATATCGTTTTCCTCACACTATCAGTTGCTCGGAGAATAGAATTTAAAATCTCACTACAGTTTACAAAACACTGAACACATATCTGACCTTCACTCTTGACATTTAAGACCTTAAAGACAATCTGAGTGACACCTGCGAACCTTTTCATGCTAAACATGCTGAACCAGATCAGTGAGTGAGTGGCAACAGAAGAAAAATTTTACAACAAGAAATAATAATGTAGTTATTAAAAATGAAGTAGTGAAGAAAAAGTACAAAATTTAGTACTTTAATAAAATATTTGGGTTTTGCTGGAGCAAACTCACAATAAAGTTTTAAATAAGCAATATGTTTTCTCTGTCATTTTCCTTTGAAATGAAAACTTTACCTTCTGGAATGTCAACTACATGAATTGAATCTAAACCTTTTGTCCTGAATTGTTTTTCACTCATTTTTTAAGGTCAAGCTGATTAGTTTGTGTGAGGTTATGTGACCCGTTGCTCCTCCTCCACTGGTATAAAGGCTGGTAATTCAGCCCATGTTTGCTCTTCCTTGCTAATCCCATCAGAAGTAAGAACACCATAAATATCCTCTTCAAAAGATTAATTTAAATTCCTAAATCATGTCAAACTAGTTTTCTGATATGATGCATGGTTAAACTCAAACATCAAGACAGTCCTGATCATCTAGAGATCATTTCTTTCAGAAAGAAAACATGCTGATGTGTTTCTGTCTCCATCTTCAGCAAAACTGCCATGGACCTCAACTGCAGAAACCTTCCTGATCTTAGAGGTATGGCTTTATGTCACATATTTCAAATGACATTTTTTATGTTGCAGCATGGGCATTTTCTTTGAAATATTTTTGCTTACATCATTCACACATTCCTTCAGCATCTTGGACGAGGATTTGCTCCTCTCGGTATTGCTTGCAGCTTAAACATACATTTATAGATTTCATTTGATTTGTCCTCCAAACTGTATTTCCAGGTTCTGTATGCAGAACACTTTAATAGTTTTCCATCCAAATATGATTAATGATTAAAACTTTGGCTACAAGCTTCTCTCTGTGCAATTAAATACAATTAATTCACACTCAGTCCAAAGCATAGGAACAAAGATTTGCCTCAGCATAACAATAACCACCAATGAAATGATATTTCACACATTATCCTGTCAGCAGTAAACAAGTTAATGCTGCTTTTCTAACAAGATAAACTGGCACGTTTGTCTTGTTTGCAGTATATATTAATATGATGTAATATTTTTGTGTATATTCTTGTTCTGCAAAGCATGAAGCTGTAAAGTTATGCTCTATCCTTTGATCTTGTCATGTTTTAAAATGTAAATGAATATTAAAAATAATACAAGAGTGAAATGTTTCCATTTAAAATAGACTACTATTGACAATGTTGAAAGATTAAAAAAGAAACTAATTGTTTCATTGTGAACTATAAAAGTGCTTGCTATGTGAGTCAGAAGCAGTTCTTCCTTAATGACTGGCACAACTTTCTGCAGAATCAGGGACCTGTACAGGTGTATACAGGTGGCCTCACCTGTAACCAGACACCAGCAGCCCTCGCCACTCCATTAAGGTGTTCAGACAATGGATGCAATATAAACAATCTATATTTCCACCAGTGTTTGATTTTGAGGATATTGCCCCTCTGGACATCCTTAGCATGACTCTTTCTGCAAACATGTCAGCATATATTAATGAAAGCCTGATTTTGGAGTCAACTAACCAGAGACCTTCTCATAAGCCTTCTCCCTCTGAATCATATAGTGCTTCACTACCAAATCTCATATAAGCCAGTACATCCTTCTAAGGAAAGATGCTACAATTTTAAGCCTCAGTCCAAGATATGAACATAAGACTTGTTAGGTTGATAAATTGATTGTTACATATGAGACACACAGGGAGTTAAATGTTGTGTAGGAGCCTGAAGATAAGAACTCAACTTTGATACACAATCAATCTTTGACTTTAAACAGATTTAGTGGACATACTGTTGATATTCTGTGTCAAAATGAGAATTAAAATGGTCATTTCATTCCATGTTAACCTGGAAAGACTTTGGCTTTTTGTTTTTTACTTATTATCCAGGTTCTTGAACATCTGAGAGACCTTAGCTAGTTCCCACTGCAGACTGCACAATGGACAGAACGTGAGTACCAACAACATTCACAGATATATTCTACTACCTGGGAACAAAATTAATCATATTTGTATATTTAAAAAAATTTACATTGAAATTAAACTTAAAATATTTATATCTTATTTATGCCTTTTATGTGAATCAGTAGAAAATTTCCACTGTAAGATATGAGATCATTATTTCCACTACTCCCATTAAATGACTGTTGTGTCTGGTAAGAATAGACCTCAGTGGAGAAACCTCTGTTGGGAGGGCAGAATGTAAATGATGAACTTGACTTCACGTTTCTTACGAAGTCTTTAAAGAGATACTCGAAAGCTATCACTCAACACTAAAATCAAACAAAATTATCTTGTGACTGTAGCAACTGAACTCCACTCTACCAGGGCCTACAATACAGGGCCTGAATATTCAGTAATATTCAAAATTATTGAATAATTTGAATGGCGTTCTGGAAGGTCATCTTTCACTCATCCTGTTGTCAGATGCGGACAAGGTGACAGACACTGCAAAGGTCTAATTTAGTGAACAAAGTGGCACTACTGGTTCGAAAGCAGAAGAGATCACTGGGTGATGGTATTTGCTTTATGAGTGATCTGCAGAAGCTGCTGGGCATTCAATATTAATTTTGATGAAAGATCAGAGTAATGAAAATCGATGGGATAAATCAGAGAAGGTTTTGTACATCTACAGGGGGACCCTCTGGATTAACCCACACATTTACAGTGGCAACCAATGAATGTGTTGTCACTTAACATTGACAATACATTAAGCTGCACCCAGAACTCTCCAATGTTGGCCCAAATAAAACAGACATAAGCAGAGTCCAGTTTGATTATATGGTTATTTTATGAGCCGCTTTTTCACTCCCCAACATCACCTTGTAGGATCTTCTGATCTTGTAAAATCTTCCACAACCAGCTGCCAAGAGCAGACTTGTTTGTGTCTCCAGTCAAAAACTGGGTATTTTTGAAAGCAGTTTTTGGCCCATCAGAATTTAAGAGAAAATTCTAACCCTAACCCTCATCCAAGAATTTCTCTGGATGAGTGGAAGTGACATCACAAAAAAGGTGGAGGTGAGCAGACGGTTCTGTGGCGACCTCTGATGGAGTTGGGAAAGCTGAAGGTCTCTGAATGTTCGGAGGAAGGAACAAATAACTCTGGAGATAACATATTTATTATTATTTTTAAAAAAATCAATGATAAAAATTGTCTGTCAGAAAAACTAACATACTGTCAATGTTCAATGCATGCAATATATGTTTCTAAGCAAAGCCTAATCCCACAGGGCACCAAACTGCTCAGGATGTCCTGCCATCTACCAAAAGGAAACCACAAAAACTAACTTTGGGACAGTGACCAGAGTCACCGTTGGTAGAAAACAACTGAACAAACCAAATAAAATCATTTTACTTGTTGGTGCAAAAGGAGCAGGAAAGTCTGCTCTGATCAACGCTCTGATCAACTACACCATGGGAGTGAGGTGGCAGGATGAGGTCTGGTATCGGATCGCAGAAGATGGAGGTCAAAGTCCAACATCAGATGTGATCATGTATGAGATATTTGATTCTGAGAATAAAACTTGGCCCTACTCTCTCACCATCGTCGACACGCCTGGTTATAGAGACACAGATGGACTTCAGCATGATGTCATCATCAATCAGAGATTGTTTGACTTGTTTCGGTTAGAAGACGGGATCCACGAGGTTCATGCGGTTGGCGTAGTGATGAAAGCAACAGAAACAAAAATGAGTGACCAACTGTCATACGTCTCTGATTCAGTGATGTCTCTGTTTGGAAAACGCTTGGAGAAAAACACAGTGGCACTCATTACTCACTCAGGTACAACACCACCTAGCATTTCTCTCAAGGGTCTTCAGGCTGGAGGAAGTCAATGTCCTTACTTCATATTCAATAATCGTCAGTATGAGGCCCGAACAGAGAAAACGAGCACAGATCTGGAAGAGGCATGGAGACTGACAGAGACGGGAATGAGGCAGTTCACAGCTTTTCTTCAAAAGGTCTCAGCTCAGCAGCAGGTATCAGTCAGCTTCAACTCATTCATCAGACTGACAGCCTCCATCCAAAACCTGCAAGAGAAAATCAAACTAACTGAACTGGAACAGAGAGAAATCAAACAGATTCAAGAAGCTATGAAGAAACACAAAGCAGAGATGAGGTTAAGCAAGAAATTAATTGTGGAGGTAGATGAAACCTACAGAGATAAGGAACTCATTGAAGGTGAGACGTCATTCTTTAAAGCCGCTGTTTGCTGCAGCGTCTGTGAGGAGAACTGTCACTATCCTGGATGTACGATGGCCCTGAGCCCTGAAGACTGCGAGGTCATGAATTTAGCATCCTGCACTGTTTGCTCTGGGAGATGTTCTGCATCAAAACATGTTAAAGGCAACTGGAGGTATGTGACCAAGACGAGAAAAGTTCAGAGAACCAAGGAGGAATTAAAACAAAGACATTTCAAGAGCAATTCAGACACAAAGGAGACAAAACTTACAGAAACTCTAGTACAGGAAATGGAAAACCTGAACAGAAAGAAGAAAACTTTGATAGAAAAGTCTTATCAATGTGCCATCAGATTGGATCCAACTCTCCTCAAAGTGAATTCAGTTTCCACATATATCAATTTGGACTTCCTGATCAAGAAGCTAAAGGATGATGGAGAAACAGAGAAGGTCCATAAATTAGAAATGATCGACAGCCAAATGGATGGAGGAGCCAAATCAGTCATTGGATGCAGGTAGGTCCAGCCAACATTCATTAGATTTTATTTAAGAACATGTTAACAGAGCAGCTTTATCCTTCACAAGATCCTCACTGTCTGTTCATAGAAAATGGCATGGTTAAGATTAGTGATCACAGTTTAGATTTTAATGTGTAAACATCTTTTATTGTCTGAAATGCATGTTTAATTGTAGGTTAAAGGTTATTGTTAAACATTTCCAATCAATCCCATTAGTAAAAACACACTTGAGTCTGTGTTTGCTTTCTAATCCGATCCCTTAAGTAGATTACAGGCACATCTGGAGGACATTAAAACCTGAATGACTCTAAACTTTATTCTTTTGAATTTGGACAAGACAAAAGTTGTTTTTGGATGAGAGCTTTGGGAGAATAAGTTGCATAGTCAATCACTTGATCTAGATGGCAATAAATTGGCCTCCAATAATAAGCGTCAGTAAACATGCAGCCTGAGAGTGAAGTGCTCTGTTGGGAACATCTAGACCAGGGGTGTCAACATCCAGTCCTCGAGGGCCGGTGTCCTCCAACTTTTAGATGTGCCTCTGCTGCACCACCTGAATAGAATAATAGATCTTTAGCAAGACTCTGGAGAACAAGGAGGAGGTAATTAAGCCATTTCATTCTTGTGTTTTGTACATGTGGCACATCGAAAAACTGCAGGACACCTTGAGGACTGGAGTTAGACAGCCCTGATCTAGACCAATCAGATCTCTGATTGAAGTAATTATCAAAGGCTCCATATGTGAAAAGGAGAATCTGAGTTTATAATCTAGATTTAACAGGGAGCCAATGAAGGAAACTAAAATACAAAAAATATGAAGTCTGTTTTTAATTTTTATCAGAGCTCTTGCTGCAGCATTTTGGATCAGCTGATGGTTTTTAACCGTATTTGGTGGATTTCTGAGTATAAAGACTTGCAGTAATCCAGCTTTGAAGTAAGAAGTGGAGGGACTACCTTTTCAGCATCACTCCTGGACAAGATGTTTCTAATTTTAGCAATATTCCAGAGATGAAAAAGGAAATTTTGAAACATGTCCAAAACAGACTTTAAATGACATATTCTGGTCAAAAATACCAAAACCTTAAAGGAAAAAATCCAAAGTTCATCAACATATTTCAACACTTCACACATATCACCTTGGAAATAGAGCACGACTTTATCTTACATGCATCTTGGTTTATTTTCTGTTTCTGGTTGATGTTTTAGAGAAATTTGGGTTGTAACTGACTCTAGGATTTGTTAAAACCAGAGGAATAACTTCACTTTGCTCATTAATTTTTCTCTAGTTTCCCAGATTCAGGACTGCATGTGCAGGGGAAATAAAGAAACAATAATTCGACATCAGACTTTATATATATCTAGAGCTTTATCCAGAGAATTCAATGCATACAGAATGTTAGATCTCACACCCAGATCATCAACAAGTCTGACACATGACAAACAGAATTACCTGCAAGTTGAAAAGGAAAGACAAAAATGCATTTTTAGGAATTGCTCACTCAGGCGCAAAGCAATTCTGTAAAACAGACCATTTTATAAGAATGTGTATTCCCTTCATTTAAATATATGCATTAGAAGGTGTGTCTTCCCCTTGGAGGGCTGCTCCGATGTTAATTTTATTGCCCTGCTTGAGACCTGCTAAAATCCAAAGGCAAATATACGGAGAGAACGAAGGTCATCCTCAACTGGGTCTTCCCGTACCAATCTCCTCCCATCCCAGACCAGAATTGATGACCTGCCACTAGGCCTGTTATTTCTGCCTCATTGATTCAACAAGAAACTGATTTCAATTTTAAACAAACTGGCACAAAAATCTATTGCCAAATAATAACTGAGTTTGGATCTAAAAACTGCAAGGTTGTCTACTTTTAGAAAAGCTCTTTCAGAATACCTGAAATATTTGGAAGTAAAATAGTTTCCTAATCCTACTGTATTTCAGTAATATTAATGCATGCAAATAGTTTGGTTAGAGACTAACTAATTCAGAACATGCTGTTTATGCTTAAAGGAAATCTCTTAATACATTTGATTATACTTCTAGCAGAATTGTTTTTTAAAGGTTTTACTGTTTTACTGAACACTTGAACAAACACCAAAACATTTATTGATCCTGATAACAGGCAGACTCCTGCCTGCAGAACCACTTAATAATTATGTGAGTTCAGAGAGTCACCAGTTGTTTTAGTTTGGATCTATATCTAAGTTTACCTTAACGTAAAGTCTACTCCAAATGTTCATGCCACATCTAATATTTCATATGCTCAAAGGTTGACTGTCTTTAAAGTTGCTAACCAAATTTATATTCTCAACAGATTACAAAGCATTTTATCTTTAGTTCATAAAATTGTCTTTATCTGTTAGTTTTAATTACTTTAGTACAAGTCTTTTTCTTTCCATTACCAACATGTTGAAATGTAAAAGTTGGAAAAAGGCAAGACTGAAGATTTATCTCTGCATGCTTTCCATCAAATTAAAATCTTTATCTCTAAAAACTAACCTTAATTTTTGTTTTGTACAGGTTGACAACACATCCATACAACATGTAATCTCCAATAGTGATGTCATCAGCTCAGAAACTTCAGTTATCTACCAGCTTAAAACAAGAAAAAAAGACAGTTGACACCCTAACCAGAGTGACCTTTGGTAAGAAAAACCACAACAAACCAAATAAACCATCCTGCTTGTTGGTGAAACAGGGGCAGGGAAATCGACTCTGATCAACGCTCTGGTCAACTACGCCATGGGAGTGACATTGGAAGATAAAGTCTGGTTTCAGATCGTAGAAGATGAGAGAAGGAGTCAGACAGAAAGCCAGACATCAGATGTGATTGTGTACGAACTCTTTGGTTTTGAAGGTAAAACTCTGCCCTTCTCTCTGACCATCATTGATACTCCTGGATTTGGAGACACCAGAGGGATTGAATATGATGTTGTTGTCAGTGAAAGATTATTTCAATTGTTTCAATCAAAAAATGGCATAAAGAACTTCATGCAGTGGGTCTGGTAGTAAAGTCGAGCGTGAATCGACTGAGTGACCGACTTAAGTACATCTTTGAGTCAGTGATGTCTCAGTTTGGGAAAGACATAGAGAAAAACATTGTAGCTTTGGTCACTCACTCCAATGGAAGAAAACCAAGGGTCTTGCTTCAAGCTCTCAATGCTGCCAAGATTAAATGTGCCAAAGATGAGGAGGAACAACCTGTTCACTTCCTCTTCAATAACTGCCGACATGAAGAGCAGATAGAAAAAAGCATTATAAAATGCTGACAAGATAGCAGTGAAAGGTCTGATGGCTTTGCTGCCTTTCTGGAGAAAACTGCACCCCGAAAACTAGACATGACTTTAGATGTTCTCAATGAACGGATCAGACTGTCCGCCTGCATCCAAAACCTGCAGGAAAGGATCCGACTGTCTGAGCTGAAAGAGGCAGAAACTAAACAGATTAAAGAAGCTCTGGAGATACATGAGGAAAAGAAGGAGAAGGAGAAGTTTTGCTGTAGAAATTTATGAAGCATACATAGAAAAAGAAGCGATTGAAGGAGAGATGTGGTTGATGACTTTAATTAAAGGAGCAGTTTGCTGTACTTTCTGTGAGGAAAACTGTCACTATTCCGGGTGTGCTAAACTCCCCAAAGACTGTGAGGTAATGAAAGATGGCCGCTGCACTGTTTGCTCTTCAAAATGTCCTGTAGCTACTCATGTGAAAGGAAAGTGGAGATATGTGACAAAAACAAGGAAAGTTCAGAGGAATATGGAAGACATAAGAAAAAGATCAAAACGTTTGAGCTTCATAGAAAGTTTTGAGGATGAAATCAGACCTGAAAGCAGAGAAGTCTAATTTGCTTGATGAGTGCTTCCAACATGTTGTCAATCTGGAGCAGATTGCTCTCAAAGCTAATTCTGTGTCCACATTTGTCCACTTGGACTTCTTGATTGATAAGATGAAAGAAAAAATGGAGACACAAAGAAGTCCGAAAAGCTAGAGGAAATAAAGAAAAAAGAAGATGAAGGAATTGCATCCATCTTGAAGTACATTTGGGGTAAAATAAAAATAAAGTGAAATAAGAGCTAAACAGTCATCTGGGAACTCTCTGACACGGATTTGATGTCTGCATTATATTATCCAAGTCTCTGGATGAAATTAGCCACAATATGGAGACTAAAGACTGTCAGAAAAACCTTCATTAGGCCATTTCTAATAAGTCGTTAAGGGTTTATGGTTGTAGTCCGATCCACTACAATGTCAGTAAAATACAAGATGTGTGGACTAGTTTTTCTGTATATTTTTCACCTCGATGGGTAGGCTTTATGTTTTTACATGCATGTGTACACACTCAGGATGGTTAAGCCTGCCTTTGAAAGTTGGCAGGAAAATAATTTGTTTGACTCCATTGGGTGTAAAGTGTAAGGTTTGGTGGAGGGAGAATTATGATGTGGGGAGCCCACTTAGCCTTAGGTTTCTGTATTACGAGGAAATGAGGACCAGTGGAACCCCTTGCCATGAACAATGGACTGGTAACAGAAGAACTCTACATTATGAACACTGACACATCATTTGAGACTGCAGAAAGCACAAATGGATGAAAAGTGGACAAAATGGTCAATATTCAAGACAAAAGACAGAGGAAAAAATGGACAAATCAGGAAAAGTACTTCTGTTGTTTATGTTGTGTAATGTTGAATGTGAATTGTTCATATATGTTATGTAAAATGTTATTAAACGGTTATATGAGGAAAAAACAATAATCATACAGACTAAAATCTATAAATAAATAAAATATCCATGATCATTATAGAACATGTAATGGTTTTAACATTTAATTTGATTTTAAGGTCCCTGCATTTTCATATAAATCTCACCTTAATGAAAATGAAAAATCTGAAAATCAAGGTTTTGTTCCAGAAGTTTGGTGGTGTGAATTCATGACTGTGGTACCGTGAAAGGTTCTGTAGTGGTTCAGTTTATAGTTCTAAGGTAAACAGGTTAAGGTTTATGAATGCCCTGCATGCTTTCTGACCATGGTCAATTAGGCAAAACTCAATAACTCTGAAAATGAAGCCATGAATGAAAGGCCTGTTCCAGAAAATCACTTCACAGAAGTACAAAGTACAGACAGGAGTGAAATGACTAATTGGATGCTGGTGAGTGGAAGGCATCATGTCTTAGCACATGTGACATTGACATATGGGAATTATTAAGAATTAAAAGAGGAATAACTTGATTTAGCTCATTAATTCTCTGATCCTGGATTCTTGAGCCTCAATATGTGCAGAGAGAAAGAGCAATCATACCACATCAGACTGAAGATATCCAGAGTTTATCCAGAGAATTCAAATGCAAACAGAATGTCACAATAAGCTTCTCACCCAGATTATCAAAAGTCCAAGACGCGACAAAACAGAAATAATTGCATGAGAAAGAAAGAAAACAGAAAATGCATTTTTCCGGGAATCGCGGACTCAGGCAGAAAGCAATTGAATTCTCTGTTGCAAACGAAAACTTTTATAAGCCTGTGCCTTTCTCTAAATTTAAATATATGCATTAGGAGGTGTGTTTTTCCTCGTGGGCCTTCCCATTGATTTTATTACCTCTGGGGCCTCCTGAAACACCCAGCTGTGAGTCGGACAGGTGGAGACGGAATTCTATCAGTTTGAGGCAGCCATTTTGACTAAAATAGGCATGAGCCAGGAAGGAATCTTAAGGCTTTTATTTTGAAATTTTCAGTACACCTCGTTTAAATGTCCAATCTATTCACATGAGTAACAGTGATTGTGTTAAATCAGTTCTAAAATGCTCCAAACAGCAATTGATATAAAAATTGTCAAGGCTTTTATTTTGAAATTTTCATTAAGCTTAATTTCATCAAGATTAATTAAACTTAATTAACACTAATCCCATGTGTAGCAAAGGTTGGTTAAAATCAGTTATAAAATGCCCAAAACACAAGTAGTTCTAAAGGCCAGCTCCTTCCTCAGAGCTCTGCCATAGTAAAAACTACAGTGATGCGTATTTGTAGTTCTAATTTATAATTCTAAATTCCAGCTCCTTCCTCAGAGCTCTGCCATAATAAAAACTACAGTGATGCGTTTTTGTAGTTCTAATTTATAATTCTAAAGGTCAGCTCCTTCCTCAGAGCTCTGCCACAGTAAAAACTACAGTGATGCGTTTTTGTAGTTCTAATTTATAGTTCTAAAGGCCAGCTCCTTCCTCAGAGCTCTGCCATAGTAAAAACTACAGTGATGCGTTTTTGTAGTTCTAATTTATAGTTCTAAAGGCCAGCTCCTTCCTCAGAGCTCTGCCATAGTAAAAACTACAATGATGCGTATTTGTAGTTCTACTTTACAATTCTAAAGGCCAGCTCCTTCCTCAGAGCTCTGCCACAGTAAAATCTACAATGATGCGTTTTTGTAGTTCTAATTTATAATTCTAAAGGCCAGCTCCTTCCTCAGAGCTCTGCCACAGTAAAAACTACAGTGATGCGTTTTTGTAGTTCTAATTTATAGTTCTAAGGCCAGCTCCTTCCTCAGAGCTCTGCCATAGTAAAAACTACAGTGATGCGTTTTTGTAGTTCTAATTTATAATTCTAAAGGCCAGCTCCTTCCTCAGAGCTCTGCCATAGTAAAAACTACAGTGATGCGTTTTTTGTAGTTCTAATTTATAATTCTAAAGGCCAGCTCCTTCCTCAGAGCTCTGCCACAGTAAAAACTACAGTGATGCGTTTTTGTAGTTCTAATTAGCTGCTCGGCCCTGCTGTGCTTCGTTGCTATGGTAATTAATCCTCTGCAACTGTCATGTGTGTGAGACAGAAAGAATTCTATCTTTGTGAGACACCCAGTCAGTTTTGACTGAAAAAAGCGGTCCGAACAACTCCTTCCCATTCGGAAACCGTGATACGTATCGGAAAACCGTTTGAAGTGTATGAGAGGGCTATCTTTCGTCTCCGATAGTCCCGCTATTCATATCTGTACATCACTCACATTAATAACAGCGACGAGATAAAAATGGTGTGCGCTGAGGTCTGACATTTTTCAGAAATACATGGAAGTGAACCTGGCTGAGCGAGTCGAAATCCTGTCGCATCACTTTGCTCTGAAGCCACTAGACAGAA